GGGAGAAGGAATCATGCTTAAAATATATGTGAAGCCTTAAAACACTGCAAGTCTGGAAGGATGTGAAAAAATAATTGGAGGCATTATTTTTGTACCAGAAGAAGCCCTACTTAAGCCCTGGGAGAGAATGGGAGAGGAATGGATGGGAGATCTGGTTCAGGCTGGGATGTTGCTGGGGTCTGCAGGGTAGAGCTTTGCACCAGAGTAGGATTTGGAAGAGATTGGATGAGGGCTGGAGGGAATCATGCTGAGCACTGTGGAGCTCCGGGAGCTGGTGGTTGCATGAAGGGATGTAGTAACCTATGACTTTTGCATAATAATTAATGAATTCAAGGTTGCAGCAAACTGGGACTGCGTGGTAAGTCTGGGTGTCCCCTACAGCAGCGTGGCCCTTGCTGAAGCAACCTGTGAACCTTGTGCTCTACCTGCCTCTAAGCAATGGAAAGCAAAGGTTAAAATGCAACCCATGAAGGGAGTGGTGGTTGGTTGTTTTGGTTTGGTGGTGTTTGGGTTTTTTTTGCTTGAAAAGGCGTAACATGGCAGTGATACAGACTTTTATGGTGCCTCAGTTCTGGGATCTCAAAACGTCATTGGGCTGTTAATTAACTAAAGCTTGTCAACATCTTCATGTGCAAAGGTGGTGGGTTGTATCACTGATAGCCAAGTGTTTTGAGGTGTTGTGTGGTGCTTTATGGGGAAGAAAGGGACACTGGTGTTTTAGAAGTGTGGAAACCTGCCACGGAGGGTGGGTGAACACCCTGCGGATGGGGAAACTGAAGCAGAAGAAGGGTGAGTGACTGCAGAAAGTCAGGGAGAGCAGAAAGTCAGATCTTAAATCAGTGCCCCATACCTGAGAGGCCTTTGTCCTTGGCTCCTGTTGCTGATGTTATGCCAACCTCATCACAGTAACTCCAATGGTGACTGAGCATCCCTGCACGGGGCAGCTGTGGGGCTCATCTGCTCTTGTTAGTTCCTTTGCATTTGCAAAAACCCGTGGTGAGGTGTTTCTGAAGATTACCTTCAAAAGCAAAACGTTTACTTGGGAAAACTGAATAAAGGCTTCAAAAACCCTTCAGTGTTTCCTAATCTTCTTCTGTAGTGCCTGTCATCATTGCTGGGTTCCTGGAGTCTGAGGTAGATGTTGGTTGTTATCACTTTCACTTTCTGGCTGTGGACTATTCTCACCTTGATCCACCTGACATCAGGACAACAAAGTGTCTTTTTAGCTTTTTTTTTTTTTTAACCTTTTAAGGGTTTTGATAGTCTGGTATGTGTCAAACCTTGATCCTGTGCAAGACAGTGGGTTTGACTGCTGCTGTCTGCTTCTCAGCTGCCCAACCAAGGGGGCTTCAGGGCAGTTTGGATTGCATCAGGCAGGTGGTTGCATGGGCCAAGCTGGGTGCAACAAGGGTGTTTTGCCTGTGGGTGGGACCACGTGTGATGCTGCATCCCTGGAGTGGGCCATAGTCCCTCCCCAGATACCTCTGGGGTGGTTGGGGGAAGGCAATAGCCCACAGGGAAGTGACCTTTTTGGGACATGTCTTCTGTGTCTGCCCTGTCGTGCCTTATTGCGCACTCGGGGGTGATTTCCCAGTTTCCTGATGGCTTCTGCAGCAGCCGGGCTGGGCTGGGAGCTGGCAGCAGAACCAGCCCCCCCAGCCCTGCCAAGGCAGCTGGAGCCCTGCTCCACCAGCCTGCCAACAAAAAGCTGCTTTTTGCCTGTGTTCTTTTGGATTATTGCAGCATTTCTTGCTCTCCCAGGGAGCCGGTGTCTGCAGAGCAGGTGGTGTCTGAGTTGCTGTTGAGTTTGGCTGCTGAGGCTGAGCTGCATCCAGGTTTTGACCCAACTTTGTGCAATTTTGTTGGGTAAAGACTTGTAAGGGGGGGCGGAAAAAAAAGGCATTGGGAAGTGTCTGTGTGTGTTTTTGGGAAGCATACGGCTTTCCAAAAACATCTCTGCACGCTATCAGTTCTGCTGTTAGAAGGAAAGCTCGACTTGGTACGTGGTGCTGTGGCCAAGATCAACCCAAAACTTTTTCCAGCAAGGCTGTTCATGTTTGCATCCCTCAGATAAGGCAGTGGGGCCTGGCCAGACCCTGCCTTTGCCCCCCGTGGGGCTCTGGTGTGTAGTGATGGTGTTTCCAGTGAGTTTTACCATAGTTTGGTGTTGACCCGGCCCTTTTGGTGGTTGACTTGAGGTCCTTTGATAAAGGGCAAAAGAAAGCTCTTGTCAATATATGCAGCCCCCCCTTCTCTGACTTCTTGTTTTTCCTTTGTTGCCAAAAGGATCTTCCATATCATGGAAGGTGATACACTGTCAACATCAGTTCTTTTCCCTTCTGTCAGTACAAGATGACTGCAAAACCAGCTTCATCAGTCACATTCACAAAACCTGCTACAGCACAGCCCTGTCTCACTAAGGGCTTTTCAGGTTCTTGTGGTGCATGAGGCTGTTTAATTTTCACAGCAATATGCCCAGCAAAGTACCAACTATTCCTTTGTGTCCTTTTGGGCTTTGATGCTCCTGCTGAGCCATGTCCATCAATGCTAGTTTGCTGGATGGAGAGGGCAGGAGTGGGGCAGTGCTTACTGATGGTCCCCATCAGTGTGGAGAAACTCTCACCCAGCTCATGCATGCCAGCCAGATGGCAGCATTTTGGATAGGAATTTGATTGTAGCACCCATTGCTTTCCAGCTGAAGAATTTCAGCTCTTGGACGGTGCTGCTGGAGCACCGGGGTGGGCTCAGTTCATCTCCACCACAGTGGACATGCCCTCTCAGTGCTTCCTGTCACCATTAGAAATGATACAACACTTGTTTTCAAATCTTGATGAAGTCTAGCAGGTCTAATGACTCTGCACTAATGAGCTTTGAAAAGTAAATTTGTTTTGATCCATGTTTACCAAACTCCAAAGTGCTTCTGCTCAAGTTTTCACAGCTCCTATTAGCTGGGAGAAGCCCCAGTGCCCAAATGGATAAGGTTCCGCTTGGGTAATTGAGATGGGAAGGTGGCTCATTATGTGAAGTGGCTGCTGAAGTGGATAATTGCAGATCTTGAGGTGTTTGTCCTATTTGCTAGTTGAGGTTTTTAGGTAATTTCACAGGTGTACAGGTACAAAATGACTTCTGTGGGGATATGGTGCATGACAGAGTACAGAGCTAAAGAGCTTGTATTTCTTTGAGTGCTGGAAGAAAACAGGTAAGAAGTAAAAGCATGGGGGGCTGTTGAAGAGCCAGGTGCTGCAGCCTGGCTGGCTGTGGCCAGAGAGGTCCTGCAGCATCTGCTCTGTCCCTTTCTGAGGAGAAGGGGTTCCTTCCTCCCACTTGCCTGGCAGCATTCCTTAAAAAGTCAGCCTATAACTGTGTTTTTATATTCGTTTAATGTGCTTGGCAACCTGCTCTGTGACTTGCCTTCCTGTTCTGCTGTGGTCCAGTGGGGCATGTGGGACACTGGGGAACCTTTATAGTTCTGCTGTGATGGGTGAGACATTATGAAACACCTTATGTGTTTCCAAAGAGACTCTGATGTCCTCTGTGGTACCATTTCAGCAGGTTTCTTGTATCTTCATAAATTAATCTGTATTCAGTCACTGGGTCTTACGTGTGGTTCAAACCAGGCACCTGCTGAGGTCCTTTCCATTGGACTGGGGCACAACTGTGCAATATAGATGTTGGATTATCTGAAATACTTGTCCTGACCCAGAGCATTAGTGTTGGGTCTCCTTGATGTGATTTGAGCTTTCTTGGGATGAGGACCTGGCCTCTTCCCTCCCTGTGAAGAGCTCTGAGTTCCAGCTTTTCTCAAGGAATAACAAATACCAGCAGTTGTGTAAAGCCCCCGATGTTTTATGCACTGTTTCTGCAAATAATCCTTGTTTATAATTCACCCTTGGCAGAAAAAGACTTTAAATTATTAAGACACTAAATATTTTGCAATGAAGGAATGAAGATAAAGCTCTTGGCAGAAACAAATTGCCGGGGAGAAGTTGTTCTCTTTGGTGTGTTTGGTACTTTAAAATATTATGAGAAATAACGTGTGGGGGGACTGGGAATTCATTGCTTGATCAAAAGATTTGCTTCTGTCTTAAAAAGGCAGCTGCTCAGTGAGTGCTTTCCATAATCCCAGTAAATAGAGTGTTTCCAAGGCACATGTGTGGGTCTCCAGAGCTGTCCCAGCTCACTGTGGGGCTGAAGGTGACATGAAGTCGTTTAGGTGGGAGGTGGTTAGCCAGGAGGTCTCTGTCCTGCTCTCAGCTCCACCACCCTGGCCTTTAGAGCTGTTTCCACATGCTCTGTGCTGTCCTGAGGACATATTTTGGGAGACCTTGCCATTGTTCCAATGCCTGGAGCTCTTCTGCTTCCCTGGTGCCTGCTCATGGGATCCTGTGTCCCCTCTCTGGAAATGGGAGATGCTGGTGTTGGCTCATCCTGTAGGTGTGTTGTGCATGTTGTGTTGTAACAATCAGCCCGTTGATACATGAGAGATGTTCCCATGATGTGAAATGGAGGATCTTATAATTAGTGATTTTGCCTCTGGCTGCTTATTTATCCTAATAGTACAACAGCTTGTCAGCTCCTGGAGTCATGGAACCAAACAACTCTGTGTGTGTGTACAAGTACTTACAGAGTTTATACCCAGCCACACAGATATGTATTTAAGTAGTTACAATCTTCTAGCTCTCTTCTGGAGAGATTTGAAATATGAACCATGGACATGTCACAGTTTAATGCAGGGCCAGCAATTAAACTGATGCCAATCTAAAAAATCAGTAGAAAGAAAATTGGCTTCATCCTGGCTCAAACCAGGACAGGGGTTCAAACCCCAGGGTTGTCCCCAGCATGTGTTTTTTTCCCCTTTATCTCAACATTATAAAGCAAGTCTCACCCTTACAGTGATGTTTCCAGCCTGGGGTGAGCCAAGGGTGGGCAGCTGAGCCAAGGGTCCCGCTCGGGGTCCCTTGCTATCAGTACTTACTTCCTCATCTCTGTTCCCTTTGCAGGAGACCTGTGCAACTGCAGTGCTGTGGGGAGTGACAGTGCAGCTGGATGCAACAGCACGACGGGGCAGTGCTCCTGCCTGGCTGGGTACACGGGGCTGCAGTGCCAGGACTGTGCCCAGGGCTTCCACCTGGAGCAGGGTGACCAGCGGTGCCGTCCCTGTGGCTGCAACCTCAGTGGCTCCAGCAGCGCCCAGTGTGATGGGTGAGTAACTCTGAGTCTCTTCTGGGGGCAACTGTCTGCACTGTTTTGGGGGTGTTTGGGGGTTTGGGAGGAAGATCAGGCAAGAATGGATCTAGTAATCTGGTGCTAGTATTTAAAAAAAGGAGGGGTGGGGGGGGGGGGCAAAAAAAGCAAAGCAGGAAGGAAGCTGGGCTTATAAAAATTCATGGAGTATGTTCTTCCTCTCTTTCAAGAGGTGGATTATAAAAATAACCATAGCTGTGGCAAAAGCCCTGGCAGCCCCCAAGAGAATTAACTTGCATTTCTGAGTTGAACAGCAGCAGAACCTCTCTTCTAATGCCTTGTGCATCCATTAGCCCCCACTAGACAGGACTGTCCTTGTGCTTGAGCTCAGGAGGGGAGCAGAGGAGTTTGGGAGATGTTTGTTTTCCACAGGGATATTTGTTACACCAGAAGCAAGTAAAGCTTTGTGCTCTGCCCTTGCTGAGCATCATGAAAGCAGCAGCAGCCCCACAGCAGTGTCAGCTGCCTTGCCTGGTGTTTAACCCTGCCTCCTCCTCTCCTTTGCTGTGTCAAGAAAGTTGCCGTAGCTGAATCTTTGAGCTCTTTTGTAATGAATGTCTTCCTGTTCATTTCACCTTATCCACCCTCACATTCTGCCTTTTGAAAGCCAGCATGCAATTATGTGATTTCCAGCTTCCAGTGATCTGTCAGTCATTAGCGATTCAACACTGAGGTGAAGGTGTCCCTTTATTCCTACCTGAAATAAATAACGGTCTGAGCAGGAGGCAAGACCCTTTGGGTCTCCTGCTCATGGTCACAGGGCAATGAACTGCAGAGTCTCTCCTTGGAGGAAATCCCCAGCAAACCAGTCTGCAGTCACTTCCAGCTTTCCTGGGCACCAGGAAGCTGGCAGCAAAGGCAGTTCCTGGAGCCCCTGAGCCTTCTCCAGGGCCTTGCAGGGGAGGTGATACCAGCATGTTGCTGCAATGGGCTCCTGCACTGGCTGCCTTGTGCTGGCATCAGCCTTGTTGTCTTTTAGGGCTTGGTCCAGGCTCAGCGTGTGTTGAACACCTGCACTTTCCTGCCAAGGCTGGGGCTGAGTCAGAATCCAAATGTTCTGCAGGGACATGCTCTTTGTAATTATTTTATACATACACCCAAAGCCTCTGTTGATGTCCTTCCTTTTGGTTTCAGTGCTGCATTTTTCTGCTTGCATAAGCTCTGAAAAAACTTCAAAGCAATGCTCCAGTTGACTAGAGTGACCTTCTTACTAAAAGAGGTGGTTCTTGGGGGTGGAGTGTAGTGTTTTTCCCCATGATTTTTAGTGGTTGTTTTAGGTATGGGAAGATGTGTCCTGAAGCATCAGAGTTTGCCCCAGACTAGAAAACTGACTTTGGTCAGATCTACTGGAAAGACAAATTGGGTTAAAAGGCAAATGGGGCAAATCTGATCTTTGAGAGGAGGGAGGTGCTACTGGGTTAACTGGGAGGGAGTGTTCTTGCCTGGACTCTGAGTCACCGGGCAAAGCGCAGACATGGGTGATGTCTCCTCATGTCTCACTGTGAGGAATGAGCCAAGAAATGCCCTGGAGAGCTTCAGGTGAGGTGCCCTGAGTTGTGGAGACTCCATGAGGGTGGAGCTTGTGCACACAGTAAGCCCTCACGCAGAAGCCCAGCGTCTACAACCCCACAGGTGATGGCAGAAAATCTCCCTAGCTTCTCCTCTTCAGCACCATTTTACAGCCTTGAGGGCCATGGGAGATACAGATCCTCAGGCATTTAGAAGAGGCAGCAGAGAAGGCAAAATGTGGAGGAAGAATTGAGGAGGAGGGCTGGTGTTAACAGAGGTGGTTCTTTGTTTCTCTTCCCTGCTCAGTGGGGTTTGCTGCAGACAGAAATGACCTCTGGGTGTTTAAAAAGAGGAAAATTAGGTCAGTTGTCTGTGTTGTAGGGCTAGGGGCATCACTGGGGCTGCGAGATGGGCAGCCTGTGCTTAGCAAAGTGTGTGGGAAAATCAAGTGGGATGCACATTCCATCGGGGCTGGAGCAGGAGCTGAGTCCTGCTTTTGGGCCTGCCCTGATGGGTGTGAGAGCATCTTTGCATCGCAAGGAGATTGTGTGTGTGTGAACCCAGGAATGAGATTTCTGGCTCTTGTTCTGGAAGCATTGGGTCTGGAGCTCTGGGTTTGGTGTCTACCTGCTGCTGAGTCCCTGGATGGGTGGTGTGTGTCCCTCTGGGCAGTCCCTGCTTGGGGTGAGGGAGGGAGACATTGCCCAACACCAGCAACCAGCTCCTGTTTCATTGACATGAAAAATACTGTCAGCTTTATTTATTTAATTTCTTTGTTAAAGCACCAGCCCAACTCCCACTTGCACCGGGCGATTCCTGCGCGCTGGCTTAAGGAAAAAGCAGCTGCTGTTGAGATGGAGTCTCTGACTGAAACAGCAGCTTAATTGTGGACTCTGACCCTTTTGCAGGGTGGCTGGTTGGAGGGGCAGGCTGCCTGAAGGCTGAGCTCTCAGGGCACACAAAACATGCCTGATGGATCTCAATCAGCTTGCCCAGGCTTTTGTAAAACTGCCTTTTGAAGCACCACCGTGTGATGATTTATTAGTATTATTTTTTGGCATGCTCTGTGGCTGGCCAGATGGCACACCCAAGTGCACTGTTTATTAACTAGACCTCAAATGCAGACCATCAAATACAAATAATACTAATACAAAAAAATAAAAAATCCCTTTCCTGAGGCAGACAGTTGATTTAGGGAGTGAATATTGACCTGACAGGCTGTCGCTGTGAATGGACTCCACAGCTGCTAATCAAAGGTCTATTTTGGTGGTGTTTAAAGTTGATTATCTGGGGAGATCTGCACAGATCCCCCTCTGGGATGGCAATGGATTTCCGAGCTCTGGTTTGGGTGGGATTTTTTTGTTAGATGAAAAGCTGTGTGTGGTTGAAGCTGAAGCTTGCTGTGGGGCTGGACACAATCCTGGGCTGCTGGAAGCTGAGAGGGGGAATGTGTTGTCCCTTCTGCGGTAACGCCTAGAGACCTCAGAGAAAGCCACATTTCACTGGGCTGGATGCTGTGTAGATGTTTGCTAAAGATAGCTGTGGCCTGGAAGCATTCATAGTCTGTAGAGGAGGGGTGGAGAAAGAAGCTGAAGTTTCAAGAGCCATGGTCAAGGTCACAGAGTAGTGGAGGATGAGGACAGCGAGTCATGTGGGTGCACAGGCTGAACTGAAGAGCCCTGCTCTGCTGCAGAGGCCTGGGACAGGAGGGTGCCTGGTGGTGGTCTCAGCCCATGGCAATGTGAACCCAGCTGGGAGCTGACCTCACCAGCTGCATCTTTCACCATCTTTCAGGCACCTCAAGTGAAGCTGGCAAAGGCGATGCTCCTTAAGAGGGTCACCATGCCCAGGCTGGCCAGCCCACATGTCCCTGGCTTGCACCCCTGTGCATTTATTTTCCTTTTTTATTTTGTGTGAGCAGAGTCCTCTGCCTGAACTCCATCTCCCACTCCCTAGAGCCAGGCCAGAGCAGTCAAGCTGGTCAGGGGGGGTTGGTGGTCTCCAGCCCCACCAGCCAGGGCAGCAGTGGGATCTCTGGGGCTCCTTGCAGCATCTCTGCGGCACCAGCACATCCCATCCTCTGCATCCTGAGGTGTGGCTTCACCCAGAATGACACTTGTGTCCCCAGCTGGCTGGTGGCACAGTGAGCTGGCACAGCTCCACGGCAGCCCGGGAGGTGGTGAGAGGATGGGGTTTGGTTCAGAGAAGCCTTTCCCTGCTGCAGAGCAGCCATCGTGCAGGAACATGAGGAGCTGTGGGTGCAGCTCTAAATGCAGGTGGGAATGATTTCCTTGAGTTGAGGGAGAGTGTCCCTGAGAGCACTGATGCATGGCTGTCCCATGGAGCAGGGGTGCTGTGAGGCTGAAAGCAGGGTGCTGTTAGCTGCGCACTCACCCTCCCTGTGTCCCTTCTTTGGAGTGGGCTTCTCTTTAGAGAGGCTGATCTCGTGACCCTTACTCACATGGATTTGCAAGAGGGTGGCTGGTGAGAGCGAGGTCAGTAGCACTGGGCAGTGCTCTTTGTTAAGGGCTGGGGTTTCTGAAGGAGCTTGGGGATGCTGGGCAGGGAGAGCCACACACTGGGTTTGCAGAGCTGGTGGGATGTGAAAAGATACAAAGAGATCATGAAGAGGGGGAGGTGATAAGGAACGTTGGTCCTGATGGTCCTGGGAAGCACCCAGGTGGGTCAGAGACTAAACACACCTTGAGGATCCTGCAGTGTGAAGCTATGTGGGGCAGAATTTGTGGTTTGTTGTTTTTTTTTCTTGTTCATAAAATGCAGAGCCATTGAAATGCAAGGTTTTTGTGGAGTTTCACCAGGCTGGGTGCTCGTGACAGTGGTTTGAGTTGAGAGAAACCTCATGTTCCCGGGGCTTGTGTCCATCCCGACCACAGGAGGTTATTTAGGGGGAAGACTGTGGAGTTCTAAATTTGCATCCAGAACATCTTAATTTTCTGTCATCACACTTCTGAAATGTCTCCTCCTGGCGTGGGAACTGTATTTCCACCCCACTGTATCTGAGCAGCCCAGTAAACCACACTGGGCACTGCCCCCCTTTGGAGACAGGACCTTGAGAATCCAGCTCCTCAAGGACTTACTTTTTTCTATCAACTGGAAAAACACACCTTTTCCTCTATTTTAAAAAGACTGTTCTGCCTTTCATAGATGGGCTGAGCACAAGCAGTGGCTCATTATCTCCCAGTAATGCCTTGTCAGCATCACTCTGCAGAGAGCAGATTTTTTTGGAGCGGAAACGGGTACATGTGGACGTCATAAAAGCAGAAGAACACCCCGATACAGCATGTTTTCCTGTATGCTTTAATTATCTCTCTCCTCTTACAGACCCTCATCCTTTACATCTGATTAACTCTCCTCCTCTCTTTCCCCACAAGCAGGTAAATATTGTACCTGCACCTGCTTTTATTTGGTTGCAGACAGGGATGGGAATT